GCATGAATTGGACCTGCTTGTTGAATGTAAGCACCTCCAGCAACGCTGACCTTGAGTAAAACTTTCAAGTTGATAAAGTTTATTTCAATAACTCTGAGGCTTTAAATAATAGATAAATTATAGACTGTCGTCAATGCTTATATTTGAGGCTTTAGTGGTTGTCTTTACCTTAGATAAACACCCAGCTTGAGATTTGACCCATGTGTTTCAGTCTCCTTTGCCTAAGAGGCTGTCAGAATGAAATTAAACAGATTTGGGGCAGGGATATCTGGGAATGCCACCTGTCTACATTAATAAAGTGATGGGAAGGATCAAGAGAGAAAGAAAACTGATAGCAGCAAGCCCCAGCAGCTGCTGGGTTAAAGTTGAAACACTGCAAGTGAGAGCCTGAATGGAGACATAATAGGAACACCTAGACATAGATAGGAAAGCCAACAGAGTGTTCTTTGGAAGCTTGAGATGTGTATGTAGAGAGGGCAATCTGACATCTCTTCCCCCAAAATAGCTCCTCTATCTAACCTGTTGGGGTTAGTACCAGAGTTGCCTTTTAGGAGCTATGGATTTTCAGTAAGTATTACATTTGCTAGAGGGTGGAGTGTGATTAATTCCTTAGTGAAGATTTTTCTTTTACCTATTAGTCCATTAGAGCCAATTTCCACAAACCGAGTATGAAGTTCTGAGGAAACAGAATCCAGGACCAGGAACATGTCAACAAGTTCTCTTTGCTCAATGACTTCTGTACATAGTACTGTGCAACAAGAGTGTAGTGAATAAATCCTGTCATCCTCTAAGTAGTGATTGTTTATGTGGTGATCATAATTAGCCACATATTTCAAATTAGGAAATAGGAACATAGAGAAGTTAAGCAAATGTGCTCAGGATTACAGAACTTGACAGAACCACAGCTTTGCACATAGTCTTATTCTAAACCCACTTTGCCCACTCATCTATATTGAAGTGACCTGAAGACAATATATTCCTATGTCATGGCTCTCAAAAGATTTACTGGGTGTAAAGAATCCTTTATGAGGCTAGATAGCAACTTGGAAAGCATTTGTGACTTTTTGCACCTATTCAAAAAGTGTGTTAAGACATAAGGCTGTTCTTTATATTTTTCTAATTCTTATTATACTTATTAATTTGCAATTTCTTGAAAATGAGAGGGACAAAACAGTAAGCATAGAAAGAAAATGTTTAGAATTAATTACATATGAACTTCCCCCAAAAATGACAATAGAAAATTCTGCCATTCATCTTTGAAAAAAATTATTGTGTAGGCTGCTTTTCCAACTCCCACTTTGGAAGCACAGCAGCTCAGTTTTTACTTTTCTTTCCCTTCAGAACACCCAAAGGGACCATATTTTTATTTAATGACCTTCAGAATGATTCTTTAGAAATCTGAAGCTATTAGAGTTGGAAACAATGCGAAGATAATTGTAAGTTATATTGCATGACAACAGTGGCAGCTGGATTGGACTTTTTTCCTCTAAATTCGGACTTTCTTCTTATTTTTCCCAGAAACCTTATATCTCAAGGTTTAACTCAGTAGCAAATCTCATATATGTGATAAACCTTGCTAGACATGGTATGTAATATAATTTCAGACAGACCCTTAACTGTTCTTCAGAAAGACCCTAGAGGGTGAAGCAGCCTTGTATCTATTTGCCCTAGATAGTTTTACTTTTATTTGCTCTCTGACAATGTGTGTGGGTAGCTGTATTGGACATAAAGGAAGCATATCTCTTAAATATTACACCCACGATTTTAACTGCCATTTTTTGTTTTGTTGTCAAACCTGCTAACATAAAAGAAAAAATGTTACAGTGAAAAACTAATAAATGATGGCACCCGCTCTCCCATATAATTTTGCTTGTGCACCTGCAAACACAAACACTCTCTCTCTCTCTCTCTCTCAGGGCTGCAGAATTGAGGACATGGATTCACTCTATTATTGTGTACATGATGGGTATGTGTAAAGAGATGGAGAAGAGGTAGATGCAAATGCAATATACACCATCCTTTCTTGGGCATATGGAAAAATGATCTCAGTTATTATTCAAGTATCATCTGCCTGATAATAAATTTATTTTATTGCCTCAACTTACAGATAGGAAATTTAAGATGATAAAAATTTTAACTTAATTAATCAGCACTCCATTACAGCCACCTCCTGTGAGTCTACTGGTGTGTGTTAGGCATTTAGACACTACTCTGGTTGGACATATGGGTTGAGTGGTAGACTTACTGGGGTAATAATATCTAAAGTATAGCTTGATAAAATGACCGAAATGTCACAACTCCTTGGTTGACTATTTTTAGATATGTACTTGAAAAACCAAACCTGTTGATACAGAGTTGGTACCAAATGATTCCAAGCCTTTAGGACAGAGTAGAATTGCTCCATAAGGATTCCAAGGCTGTGGTCCTTAAGGAAGGAGTTCTGGTGTCAGAGTCCATTATATATTGCATTGCTAAATAAAAGTCAGTTGTTGAAACCACAAATGTTCTGCAAGAAAAAGATGAACAGTGTCCTCCCACCTAGGGTTCCAATGGGTCAGAATTAATTAAACAGTATGTTGAATTATTCTATAAGGAAGGCGACTGCCCTTTTCCCCTGGAGCAGTTGATGTGTTCAGTTAGCAGCCAAGCACTTTAGGTACCACATGCTCCTTTCTTAGCTATTACAACATCCTTATCAATCTCTATCAAACTGTTACCTAATAAAGTCTGACTCATAGTGACTCTCTATTGAATTTCTGAGGCTATAAATCTGAAGGTGATAAGATTTCCTGTCTTTCTCCCAGGGAGCAACTGGTGAATTTGGCCTGTCACCTTTTTGGTTAGAAGTCTAGCCCGTTACAGCTACACTACCTGAGCTCTTTTGTTACCCTTTGGATAAAATTAAATATTAAACTCTAAATAAGTTCAATCTAATAGCAAGATTTTCTCTACAAGGACAGTAGGAATATTTGCTTTAACACCTAGATTTAAGTGGATGTCATCTCCACGCTCTTACCATTAAGAGTGCCCTCATTTTATCTAGTTGTGATATTAGAAAATGTCTTGGGTCTGTATTCCTAGATACACATGCACACATGCTTAAATTCTATGATGACTAAGTCTGTGAAAGAATGTTGAGGGATTTTCCTCTATAAAGAATAATTAATAAAATCATTGTAGACATTTTTCCCAGTGTAAAAGCCTATTATGAATGTTGATTGCTGCCTAAATCTCCCCTTGAATATACTATGTGACTAATTAAACACTATCCTCTTAAGTTGTTGTTGTTAGGTGCCATCCAGTCTAGTACGACTCATAGAGACCCTATGAACAAAAGATCTGAACCCTGTTCTATCCGGCACCATACTCACACTTCCTGACACACAAAAGCCCATTGCAGCAGTCACCGTGTCAATTCACCTAGTTGAGGGTCTTTCTCTCTTTTGTAGACCCTCCACCCTTCCCAACATCATGTCCCTCTCCAAGGACTAGTCCTTCCTAGCAACATGCCCAAAGTATGTGAGGTGAAGCCTTGTCATTCTTGCCTCCAAAGAGTACTCTGGCTGCATCCTCTGTAAGAAACATCTGTTCACTTAGCCGTCCATGGGATGTTCAGTGCTCTCTTCCAACACCACAGCTCAAAGGCATCAATTCTTTTTCTGGCATACTTATTAACTGTCCAGCTCTTAGATGCATAGCAAGTGATCAAAAAGACTATGGTTCCAATCAAACAAACCTTTGTCCTTAAACTGACATCATTTCTCCTCAATAATTTGGAGAGGTTCCTAATTGCAGATTTACCCAGTGCAATGTGTCTCCCTATTTCCTGGCTCCTAGTACCAAGGATGTTAATTGTGGATCCAAGCAAGATGAAGCTGTCGACAGTTTCAACCTATTCTCCATCCATTGTGATATTGCCTATCAGTTCATTGTTTTTATCTTTGTTTTCTTGACATTGAGATGCAATCCATACTGAAGGCTACATTCCTTGATCTTCTACAACAAGTGCTTCAAGTCCTCCTCACTTTCAGCAAGCAAGATTGTGTCATATGTATAATGTAGTTTATGGATTAATCTCCTTTCAATCCTGATGCTACACTCCTCCTCATAGAGTCCAGCTTCTTGGTTATTTTGCTCAGCATACAGATTGAGTAGGTATGGAGAGAGAATATAACCCTGATACATTCCCTTCTCAATTTTTAACCACGCAGTGTGTGAAAACCCTATGAACACAAAAGAAAGAGGATAGTTGCAGTAGCTGGAAAATACAGGACTGATGATAGAAATGAGGCTGGAAATAGAATTATTGAATTGTGTATTTACAATGATTTATTAATTTTAAATATCTTTTTAAGAAGACAAAAAATGATGACTTTTCACATTGATCTCACCTGATGGGCTGCAAAGGAATCAGATTGACTTTATTTGTGGAAGAAATTGTTTGAGAAGCTCAGTGTCGTCAGTCAAAACTAGGCCAGGGTGAACTGTGGGTCAGATCATCAGTTACTCGCAAGTTCAAATAGTGGCTGAAGGAAATAAAAAAATCCTCTTAAGACTCTTAGAAAATATCTCTGTCAAACAGAAATAACCTGGTAATTATAATTATATTTAGCCCCTTGCAGTTTCTACATACAATTTTGCATACAAAGTTTTTTATGTATTGTGTTTTATTCATGTACATTTTATTTCACACATTCCTTCACTCACATTATGTTTAATATAATTATTCCTGTATTTCGTGTTTTATAAAATTAATCACCATTGATCTATGCCCATTATTACCCCATCTTTTCAGGTTCCCATTAGATTTTAAAGTGGCGTTTAGTATACCAGCTATGATATTTTAGTTGGACACAAAAAAAGACATTTGTGTTAACTGTGACATATTCTGGAAATTAAAGAACAGGACATACAAATAATGAAAGTACTAACTTGCCAGTACTAAGAACTAGTGATGTGAATTTTTACTTTTTTCTTACTTTCAACTATTTTCTCTGCAGGAATGCAAGCCAAAAATGTGGAGAAGCATAGTAAAACAGAAAGGAAACACTCTTCTAATCCAGGACGTTCAAGAAGAAGACGGTGGAAATTATACTTGTGAAATTAAATATGAAGGAAAACTTGTAAGACGGACAACTGAATTAAAAGTTACAGGTAGGAATTGATTCTACACAATTATGGCAAATGAGAATTTAAAAAAGAGGTTTTTAAAAAAATTTTTTATTATTTTGTGTGCGTGTACTGTCAAATCAGATCTGACTGGTACAGGAGGATATTGTGCCTCCTTCTCCGGCACAGCATCTGGTGGATTCGAACCTTGTTCCTCTGGGATTGCAGTGCAGCGTCTTGCCACTAGGCCACCAGAGCTCCCAAATGAGAATTTAAATATAACTGAGTTTGTGAAATAAAGAATTTTTTATGAAGAACCAGCTTGCTGTGAATGTAGAATTGGCTATAAATCAAGCAATTGGGAAGCTCAGTATAAATGACGCTGAGTAAAAGCAATATGTGGAATTGGAAGAACAATTGATTTATAGACCAAAGACTGAGTTGCCGCATGTATGTTCTCTGCCTTGATAAAAGGTTCTTAACTTGATTCTACTAAGCTTCTCAGAAAATGTATACTGGAACCTTTCTTTTATGTTGATTTAATTTGTTAATAGGGAGCACTAGAGATAGAGTCTATAAGAATTACAATGTTAACTCAAAGGTGGTACTTCTCTGGTGGTTTGACACCACCATCAACCTTGAGGGAGAAAGATGGAAAACCTCCTCCTATGCAATTTCTAGCCTCCTAAAAACCCACTAGAGGTCAACTATGAGTTGGTTCCAACTTGATGGCAATGAGAAAGAACGTGTATATAGAATATACCTGTAGGTCTTATTTAGAATGGGTATGCTATTTATAATTAAATAATCTTGGATTACTTCTTAATTATAATTTAAAGAAAATTCTTTATAAGTGTGTATTATTGTTATGAGCTTCAGCATTGATGCCACAAATGACGATAGTTGGCTGCAAATTAAAAGGCAAACGCGAAAACCCAGTCAGCAGTTGGGACTCTCTTTTAAGGTATTTAAAATTTGGCAGTTTTGAGTTCACCAGCAGGAGAAAGATGCATCAGTCTGCTCCCACTATGATTTACACCCTTGGAAACTTGATGAAGGCACTTCTTGATTCGGAATTATCTCGATGGCAGCTATGCGTTGATTCCAACTTGATGGCAATGAGAAAAAACCTGTATATAAAATATACTTGTAGGTCTTCTCTAGAATGGGGATACTATTTATAATTAAATAGTATAGTTGCATATAAGTATAAATATAGTTGCATCTTTAATATAATTTAACAAAATTCTCTATAAGTGAGTGATATTTTTATGAGCTTTAGCACAGATGGCACAAATGATGGCAGATGGCTGCAAACTGAAAGGGTGGCATTTCCAACCAACTTAGTGTCTTTTATGGGAGGAAGATCTGGTGATCTGCTTTAATTTAAGATTAAAACCACTAATTTAAGATTACCATTCAATTAAGATTAAATGGCTGGAACAGTACATAGATAGGAAACTGCCAGAAGTTCAAGCAGGATTTAGAAGAGGCATTGGCAGGGATATTATTGATGATGTCAGATGGATCCTGGCTAAAAGTAAGGAATACCAGAAGAATGTCTATTTGTACTTTTTTGACTATGCAAAGGCATTTGACTATGTGGATTGTTACAAGTTGTGGCTGACATTGAGAATAATGGGAAGAATCCCAGAACAGTTGATTGTGCTCATGCAGAATCTATACCTGGACAAGGAGGCTGCTATGCAAATATGGCATCACAACACTGCATTGTTTGGAATTGCAAATGGAGTGTGTCAAGATTGCATTCTCTCTCCATACAAATTATCCAAGAAGCTGGACTCTCTGAGGAGGAGTGTGGCATCAAGATTAGAAGGAAACTCATCATTAACCTGTGTTAGGCAGATGACGACACAACCTTGCTTGCTGAAAATGAGGAGGACTTGAAGCACTTGTTGCAGAAGATCAAGGAATGCAGCCTTCAGTATGGATTGAATCTCAATGTCAGGAAAACAAAATTCTTACCCTGGACTGATAGGCAGTATCATGTTGGATGGAGAGGAGATTGAAACTCTCAATAGCTTCCTCTTGCTTGGATCCACAATTAACGCCGTTTTTACCAGCCGTCAGGAAATAAAGAGACACATTTCACTGGGGAAATATGCAGTTAGGGACTGCTTCAAAGTATTGAAGAGTAATGATGTCAGTTTGAGGACTAAGGTGCATCTGATTCAAGCCATAGTTACTTGCTATGCATCTGAGAGCTGGACAATGAATAAGAATGGCAAAGAAAAAAAATTGATGCCTTTGAGCTGTGTTGTTGGAGAAGAGCGCTGAACACTCCATGGATGGCCAAAAGAACAAATATGTCTGGTAGAGGGTGCAACAAGAGTGCTCTTTGGAGACATATGTTAGGCATGTTGCTAAGATGTACTATTTATTGGAGAAGGACATGACACTGGGAAGGGTGGAAGGTTGGCAAAAGAGAGGAAGACCCTCAACCAGGTAGATTGACAAAGTGACTGCTGCAATGGGCTCTTAAAAAAATACTGCTTTACTTACTTACAAAGTTCATATACATTGTTTTTCACACACAATGGGCTCTTGAGTGTCAGGAAGTGGGAGGATGGCACAGGGTAGAACAGGTTTCAGATCTTTTATTCAGATGGTTGTTATGAGTTGTACTGACTCAACAGCACCTAACAACAGCAAATGATTCTAGATAGATGGTAGATAGATAGAGAGAGAGAGTGATAGATAGATGATAGATAGATAGATAGATAGATAGATAGATAGATAGATAGATAGATAGATGATAGATAGACAGTTGATTTTCTTCTAGTAGAGCATGACTCATAGTGATCCTATAAATAAAAGGCTTGAAGCCCCTCTATAACTATCGACATTTATCAAAGTTCATTGAGTTTCTGGAGGCGTGTTATTTAGGAAGTAGATGGCACGAGAAAGAGAGAGAGAGAGAGAGAGAGAGAGAGAGAGAGAGAGAGAGAGAATATGAATCTCTGAGAAATCTTTCTTCTGTAAAGCAAATGCTCTTCTAGTGTATGTAGGTGCTACTACTTTAAGACGATCAGGTATGAAAAAATCCAGATATTTAAAAATTATAAAAGAGAAGATCATTATATATAAAGTTTTTCCCCATTTAAAATTATTCACCATAGCATTTCTTTAAATAGTTAACTTTCCTAATACATGAAGATAGCGTTTGATTTCAACTCAACTTTTCCAAAATTAGGTGACTCATAATGGGCCTGTGTGATTTTATTTTTATTTTTTTATTCCTTTGGAGGCTGGAGATGAGTAGGGACAGGTTTAATAAGACATACATAATAATATGTTTAGGTCATTTCCAGATAGTTTTATTTCCTGCAGCACATTATATATAGCTAGTTGCTATTTTTAAGGTGTCCCCCCCCCTTTATTCTCACATTAAAATTGTGCAGGGGCTAGCTAAAGTAGTAAGAAGAGAAGGGAGGGTTAATTACATAATGATGATATTGTAGAGCAGATGATAATGGATGGAGGAGGAAGAGAGGATTATGATAGGGTCTTCTGGGATTAGAGGAGAAAGTCTTCCTTGAGAATGTCAAAGCCTCCAAAACATGTACATAAATAGGAACCTAGCACTAATCACATGCCTCTGGAAACTCTATGAACTTTGATAAATGTTGATACCTATGAAAGGGCTTCGGGCCTTTTGTTCATAGGGTGCTATGAGTCCTGCTCAACTTGAAGGCAATCAACAATAGCAATAGCACTAATTAACTATATTTAGAAGGTCGTTCACCATTCACCTGGCAAATCATTTACACGACATTATGCAGCCCTTTAGAAATGTTATTTGGCTATTTAGGGGAAACATTAATCTGTTCTCTTGTGAATATGTAGCTAATTATCCCTGACTATTATAGTCTTCTCATGGAACTTTTCATATCCTCAGGAATCATTTGTTCGCCAATTGTGGGGACTCTGGAGATCTAGTTAATAGAGAGTTTTACTGTTAAACCAAAGGCCTTGCCTCTCTGGCAGTTTGAATCCACCAGCTTCTCTGCTGAAGAAAGTTAAGTAGTTTCCTCCAGTGCAATTTCTTGCCTTTGAAACCCAGTGGAGAGTCAGCTATGAGTTGATTCTGATTTGATAGCAGTGAATTTAAGTTTTTATTTATGTCTAAATGCTATCATTATGGAGATATAGTGGCATAGTACATAGAGAGTTGCACTGCCTTGCTAGTGGAGACTCACCAGAGGTTCCAAGAACCTCTGCAGGAGAAAAATGGACAATCTCCTCCTGTGCTATTTATAACCACCATAAACCAGCTAGAGGGTCAACTGTGAGTCAATTCTGACTTGATGGCAATGACAGTTTAAAATACTGTGGTTAGAATAAAGGGTTTATTCTATGGATATGTTTCAAAGATTTGCTAATGAGTTTCTAATGAACATAGTAGCAAAGCAGTCTGGAAGTTAAAAGCTTGACATAAATGCAGAGCTTGAATTGGAATCAGTCATTGGTAAGATGTCCAAATAGGTGGCTTCAGTAAATGCTTTTAATTTCACTTTGCAAATATAAAATAAACTGTGGTCCTTTGCTGCCCGTGTCATTAGATGGCAAATCTTGCTGGAATTACCTTCCACTGGTGTGAAAAATGGTAAAATGTTTACACAGAGAATGCAATTTAGCATTCAGTTTGGAAAGTAGATTTTGGGTGGCTCTGACTCTTTGTTCTGTTATGCCTCAACTTTTAATATTGAAACATCAAGGTAAGGTGGGGGGGGAAACTGGAAAACAGTGATGTGCTGGGAAGTTTGCAGGGAATAAAAAGGAGTGGAGATTTCTACTGCATAGTGATAATATCTTGGACTGAAGCTCAACATCAATAAAACAAATATTCTCACCACTGAGCCAATTGTTAGTGCCATAATAGAAAAAGGATTGAGATTATTAAGAATTTCAGTTTACTGGATTCCACAATCAACACCCTTGACACCCTCAGTCAGGAAATCAAAAGATTAATTGCATTGGGAAAATCTGCTGTCAGGGACCGCTCCAGAGTACTGAAAAGCACCTATGTCAGTCTAGAGACTAAATTGTACCAGATCCAGGCCATCGTCTTTGCAAATATGTTGTTGTTGTTGTTGTTAAATGCTGTACAGTCATAGACAACTCATAGCAAACCTATGAATGAAAGTCCTCAATACTTAGGTGACTTTCATCCTTTTTCCAGGTTTATAGAGTTTCCAGAGGCAGGCTGTTTACGTAAGTGGATGCCGCTCCTGCTTCCAATGATACACATTAGGAAGCTGAATAATGAATAAGAATGACAGAAGAATTGATACCTTTGAGTTGTGGTACTGGAGAAGAGTCTTGAAATACCACGGACTACCAAGAGAACAAACAGGTCCTTCTTGGAGAGGGTGAAGCCAAGTTTCTCCTTGGAGGCAAGAATTTTGAAACTTTGCCTCACATACTTCAGGCATGTTTCCAGGAGGGATCAGTCCCTGGATAAGGACTTTATGCTTGGAAGGGTGGAGAGACAGCACATAAAAGGAAGTTCCAGGATGAGATGGATGGACACGTATCAGAGACAGTGAGACTGGCTCAGGATAGGGCAAGGTTCAGAGCTGTTGTACAAAGGGTCGGTATGAGCCACAGTCAACTTGACAGCACATAACAACAACAATGATAACACAAGAGATGCAATCTCTAAGCAAATAGCCATAAAACTATTGAATAATATAAGCCCCAAGAGCTAGTATCTAATGAGAGCTTAATGTGTGGCAGACATTGTGCTTATGTGTTTGTGGATTGTTGTGGGTTTTCTTTATTAATTTCCTCATTTAATCCTCACAACAACCTCTATAATTGGATATTATTATAAGTTCTATTATTTTAGAGATAGAAATGAAAACTTAAGAGAAGTGATTTGTTTCATTTACTCAGTAATCTACTGATTGGCAGAATAATTATAGGAATCTATCTTCCTGATTTTCTAATTTTCAGATTTTTAAAAAATCATTACCCAGAATATACCTCTTATAATTTGAAAACAAATGCCAAATTATCAATCACAATGTAAATTTTTTCACTGTTGCTATTGTTGCTATGTGCCGTCAAGTCACTCCTATGTACAAGAGACCTAAACCCTGCTCTGTCCTGTGCCAACCTCCCTGTCTCTGACTTACCTACTCCCATTACTCCAATCACTGAATCAACCCATCTCATTGAGGGTCTTCCTCTCCTGTGCTGTCCCTCCACTTTCCCAAACATAATGTCCCTCTCCAAGGACTGGTCCCTCCTTGCAACATGCCCAAAGTATGTCAGACGAACCTTCAGAATCCAAGGAGCAGCCCAGTTTCATCCTCTCCAGGTCAAACCTGTTTGTTATCCCAGCAGTCCATGGTGTATTCAACACTCTTGTCCAGCACCACAGATCAAAGGCAACAATTCTCTAGTCACTGTCTAGCTCCCCACACCTTTTTGGGACATTCATTTACCTTTTGATCTTCCCCATTGGAACTAAATGGATAAATTTGACATTTTGCAGTCTGGTCCTTTCCTCTGAGAGCTGTCAGAATGGGGCATGTAATTGAGTCAGGCCTTGTTTGGAATGGTGCTAGTAGAGAAACAAGGAACATGCACTGTAAAAATGAAAATGCGTGAAAGATAGGATTTGCCAAATTTCATGTTTTAGTGCCATCTGGTTCTACTAATATGGCAGTCTATATTGAGACAAATAGATCTCTATGAGGCTCATTGCAGCAATGACAATAATTTCAAGTTAATGGAAGTGCAGCACAGGATAGCAGTCTAGTTAAATAATTTGGGCTTAATTGAGAAAGAATTGTCAACACCTATATTTTTCAGGGCACTCAGTGCTCATAATATTCTACTGTGTATCTTAATTTTTGAACTTGAGTTTTTCAGGCAATAGAGGATGCAGAGGGAAATAAAAAAAAAAACACACACCCCAGAAACCTTTAAGAATATGAAGTGATTTACTATATACCAAACACAACAAAATATTTTGATGATTAAAATATCTATTGGTTTCTATTATTTGTCCATTCTATTATTTGTGTTCTTGATTACTTAAGAGCAGGATTTGTTGACTCTCTCTTTTCTATATCCCCAAATGCTGAGCATATACTCACTCACTCACTCCCTAACTCATTGCTATTGAGTCAGAAGTGAATAATGGCTGACACTTGATTGGATTTATACAGTTATAAATTCCTAGGAGGAGATTGCTTGTTTTTCTTCTGAAGTGCCACTGGTGGATTCGATTTGCCAGATAGGCATGGCTTTTGAGTTGGAAGTGCAACAACAGCCTATGGTCTATGCAATCAGAACACCCTGATCTTATACTAGATAATCAAAAGTTATTTGTACTTTGGCTTGTTTAGTTTGTTAGTTGTTTGGCTGTTATCCTTTGCTATGTTTTAAAGCTATGGTTTAGAGGATTTAAGTCAGTTGCTGTGGAGTGACAGCTGTTGAATGTTATGGCTAGGGCTGTAATTGCCATATTATTGCTCATAGTCTAATGAGAGCTGTCCGGTCACATGGATACTCTGTCCTGAGTCATTTAATTCTGGTTACTAGACAAGGAGATTGGAAGCAGGAGTGGCATCTATTTCTTAAATAGAATGCCTCTGGAAACACTGTGAACTTTTATAAATGTTGATATTTGTAGAGGGGTTTCAGGTCTTTTGTTCATAGGGTTGCTATGAGTCGTGCTTGACTCGAAGGCAATCATCATCAACAATAACAGACAAGACGAAGGAGGAAGAGTTCAACTTTGTAGCTCAATGAATTTTTACATAATTTGTTACTTAAAATGTTAGTTTGCCACTCTCTTCTTTTGTCCTTAAATATAAATAGCTCTTGTTGTTTTTGTTGATTACCTTCAAGTTGAGTATGATTCATAGCGACCCTATGAACAAAATGCCTGAAACCTCTCTACAACTACTGACATTTATCAAAGTTCATAGTTTCTGGAGGCATGTTGTTAAGGAAGTGGATGCCACTCCTGCTTCCAAATAGCTCTAGTGATTCCAAACTGGAAGTTCTTCATTCTTGATGGCTGAATCTGAGTCAGCGAAGGGATAACCACCTAAGCAGTGCTCAAATATAGGCATGTGTGGCAGGTAGACTGGATATGAGAGATAAAAAGCAAGTACAGATTGGAAAGCAATGCCAGCCATAAGGTCAGGGTCCAATATAACAAGATCATCTAATTTTTAAAGAGATATTTGACGTTAAAATTTTTATTTGGAAATTTCTGACTTAGAAGTGATGTAGTCTGTAGCAAGTTGTGCTGCTAACCTGAAGGTCACATATCTTTGGAGGTTTAAATTTACCAGTGATCTTGAGTGAGAAGAATGAACAATTTATCATGTGATTTAAAATCTCAGAAACCTACTCGAAAGTCAGGTATAAGTTGGAACTGACTCGGTGACAGTGAGTTGATTTTGAATGTAAACAAAATCAAGCATATTTGTAGGAAGTGTTTGGTTAGGGGGCTGCCTGTTTGTAATGTTTCCTACAAAGGGTTTAATTTAGTTGGCTTTTTAAACAGACCGCTGACTATGTCTGGCTCAGACACCAGCAGACAATGCAGGTATTTGTGGTGGGGAGAGAACCACCTGTTTTTGTTGTTGTTATGTGCCATCGAGTCACTTGCGACTCATAGCGACCCTATGTACAACAACTCTAAACTCTGCTCTGTCCTGTGCCAATTTCATTGTCTCTGACACATTCATCCCGATTGCCTCAGTCCACCTCCCAAAGAGCCTCCCCCTCCTGTGCCTGCCCTCCACCCTCCCCAGCATGATGTCCTTCTCCAAGGACCGGTCCCTCCTTACAAAGTATGTCAGAATCCTTGCCTCCAAGGAGCAGCCCGGTTTAACCCTCTCCAGGATTAATCTGTTTGTTTTCTTAGTAGTCCATGGTACCCTCAGCACTCTTCACCAACACCAAAGCTCAAAAGCATCAATTCTTCTATCCTCCCTGGTCATTATCCAGCTCTCTGACGCATAACAAGTGCTTACAAAGACCATGGCCTGTACCGGACGCACCTTAGTCTCCAGAGACACACAGTCACCCTTCAGTGCTTTAGAGAGGTCCCTAACATCAGACTTTCCCGTCGCAATACATCTTTTAACTTCCTGGATGCTGGTGCCAAGAGTGTTGATTGTGGAACCAAGCAAACTAAAGCTGTGAACAATCTCAATCTCTTCACCATCCATCCTGATGCTGCCAGTTGGTCCAGTGGTGAGAATCTTTGTCTTCTTGACATTGAGCCTCAATCCATATTGAAGACTGCAGTCCCTGACCCTCAGCAGCAAGTGCTTCATGTCCTCCTCCGTTTCCGCAAGCAGGGTTGTGTCATCTGCATAACACAGATTGTTGATAGATCTTGCACATTTCCTGATGCTGCATTTCTCCTCATAGAGCCCAGCCTCCCGGATTATCTGTCCTGCATACAGGTTGAAAAGTTATGGAGACAGGACACATCCCTGGCATACGCCCTTCCCAATTTTGAACCATGCAGTGTTTCCTTGCCTGATCTGATGACTGCTTCTTGGTTCAAGTATAAGTTTCGCATTAGCATGATCAAGTGTTCTGGGATTCCCTTTCTTCTCAGAGTCAGCCACAATTTGTTATGGTACACACAGTCAAACGCCTTTGCATAATCAATGAAGCACAGATAGACATTCTTCTGGTACTCCCTGCTTTCAGCCAAGATCCATCTAACATTAGCTAGAAAGCCGTTAATAGACAAACTGAGAACAGCACTGAGAAGTCATTCTTAATCATACCATCCAATAGGTTGGTCGATCCAAGCAGAGAGTGAAGGGTACAATTTGTGGACATAATTGATCACTGTACAGAAAAGAGTGGTTTAGGTGATGAAGCAGGTTGTTTTCATGTTACCGAGAAATGAAGAGCCATGGAGAAAAAAGTACCCTCCTTTTAGAAGCTGCCCCAAAGCAGTGTAAAGAAGCTGTGAAGGGAAAAAAGATCATGTCATATACTGACTGTTCTTCTTGTTCTCTCTGAAGAGCAGATTAGTACAAGCTGAATATGTGTGTATTGATTATCACAGAATTTATTTTGCTTATACCTTTTGTTTCATGAAGTTCTTCTGTGTTCTGCAACTCCTTTTGGTACAGTGACTCTGTATACTCTTTCCATCTTCTTTTAATACTCCCTGGATCATTTAATATTCTGTCCATAGCATCATTAAGTATTCCAACTTAAGGCTTGGATTTGTTCCTCAGTTTCTTGAGCTTAAGAAATTCTAAGCGAGTTCAGCCCCTCTGATTTTCTGACTCCAGCTCTTTGCTCATTTCGTTATAATACTTTGTCTTCCTGTGCTGCCCTTTGAAATCTTCTGTTCAGCTCCTTAATATCTTGATTTCTTCCCTTCGCTTTGACTTCTTGGCACTCTAGTACAATTTCTAGAGTCTCTTCTGACATCCATCTTGATATTTTCTTTTTCCTTTGTCTTTGTAAAGACATTTTGCATTATTCTTGGATGATATTCTTGATATCCTCCCACAACTCATCTGGTCTTCACTCATTAGTGTTCAAGGTTTC